ACTTGAACAGCTTCACTAAACATGGGACAGAGGACGCCCCATCTCCAGGCGGCCCGCGGCTGGGCCACGGCTGTGTGATCCGTTAAACCCTAAGTGACCGCCCCTGGCTGCCCCACTGCGGGCGCTTGATGGGGTGGGGGTGGAGCCACTGACTCAACCTGGATTTTCGCAGGTCACCGCCCTATCTCTTCCCACCCCAGTGCAAAGAAAGGCCAGAGCCCCAGGACAATCCCCAGGACAATGGGACAGTCGCCTGGTGACCGCACTGGTAATTCCCAAGCTCTGAGCAAATGGGCTGATTCCACAAATGATGAGACTGGGGGGCTGGTCCTCTTCGCGCAGGAGACACCCCATGCGCCCAGCTGCCCACGTGCTGTCCCGGCTGGTCTGGGCGCTCGCATGTCTCTTACTTTACCACCAATCAAATAAGGTCTAAACAGAGAGGATAAGAAATGGCCTTTCCGTGGACACATTAACAGCGGAGCGCAGCGGGCCAGGCTATTACGAGGCGGGGAGTAAACTATTTACACAAGGAGCTCGCACTGTACACAGCGGCAAGCGTGTTTAGTCTGGGTGCGCTGTCTGCCCCGGAGCTCACATGGGGGCCGCCTTGGTGCGGCCTGGCCTGGCCCTCCCTCACCGCACCGCTGACCCCGGCTGCCAGAAGGCGACAGAACCCCAGGTACTGCAGGAGCCCCAGCCACGCCCTCGACCTCAGGTGCGCCCCACACGGAGGCTGCAGCGAGGGGGTGCCCACCCATACCCCAGACAAAGCCACTGCAGCCTCGGGGCAGTGATAAGGAGAGCATTCCTCAAGGGCCTACGTGCCCCGGTGCAGCGCGGCTATTGTCCTCACCCAGTGAGTCAGGGGCCAAGGAGACAGATGACCCGCAGGTGGACATGAGGATTAGCCCGAAAACAATGGTCCGAGCTGGGCGTGGGCGGGCCGCAGCCAGAGAGGCTCCCTGGGCCATAGCGAAGGGCTTACATGGCCCAGGGCTTACGGACAGAAGCCCCCATGGAGCAAGGCGAGACCCAGCCACGAGACCCAGCCACGCAGAGGCACCCAGCTGGAGGGCATGGCACTGGGGTGCGCTCCTGGGGTGGGGGGGAGCAGTGGCTGGGGGTGAAGTGGCGGGTGAGGTCTCACAGCAGGAAATGTCAGGGCCAGTGACCATGTGTGCGCGTCAGGAGCGCCCGCTGGACGAAGCTCGACTCTGGGTACTGCTAAGTGTGAGATCGAGCAGGGCCGTGATGCTGAGGTGTCTGTGGAGACGCAAGGAAACTAGGCCAACTGACAAGCTCTGGAGACGCTGCCACGGAATGGCGGGAAGAGGAGAAGGCAGGTGGGTGGACAGCAGGGGCACTAGCGCCCGCGGAGCACGCCGAGGGGTCAGGAGGAGGAATAGGAGACAGGGCGGAAGGCCAGGAGGGTGGACTCCTGACGGCACAAGAAGAGCAGGAGGGAAAGGAGGCAGCGCCGGCTGGAAGCAGAGCCCTGCACCCAAATGCAAAAAAATGCCACCCAAAGGGACTCTGGACCCCGTCCTGTGAGAAGCCGCCCTCGGGCTGTCCCGTCCACACCCGCCCCAAGTGCACAGCAGGGAGGACTGTCTCCTGCATTGTTCTACAGCAGGGGGAGAACAATGGACTGTGACAGTATTTCGGAGCTTCTATTGTGGCCCTGGCGTCCTCAGCCCCCCAAGCACAGGGCGCCAAATGGGCGTGAGAGGCATTTTCCTGGATTTCTGGAACACACATTACCACAAACACTATCTACCTCGGCCAGCCAGGGCTGTCACTAGTGCACACCCCACTGCAGCACACCCCACTGCCTCCGACTTCTGGAAGGCCTGACAGCGTCACTGGGGGATCAATGTGTCTGCAGAACCTTTACCAGCTCTTAACTAGACAGCTGACCCGGGTGAGCTCTGGGGCCTCCTTGCAGCCTGTTAATGAGTAATGTGGGCTTGCTCGGGCGAGGCGGGTTTTCTGGGTCAGTTCCCAAAGGCACTCCCGCCCGGAGCAGTAGCCCACGCGCAAGGCCAGCACTGCGGGGCCCCAGCCTCTGCAGTAAGACACCAGGACACTTGGAGTAAGACACTTGGGTGGCGCTGGGACTCACCCTCCTTTATCCTAGATCCTGCCCCTCAAGTTGTGTCTCTGCCCCTCTGAGAAAAAAGTTCAGCCACCAGGTCCGTCAACAGGACAAGGGCATCCAGCGCCGAAGGAGGCCTTCAGGGCCATCTTTAAACGCGAAGGGCTCAGACCTCGAGAGGAGGGTGCTTCCGTCAGAGGGTCGTGTGTAACAATGCAGGAGGACGCCTCGCTGGGCTCCTAGGTCTTCCCCAGATTTCAGAGGCAGAAGTCCAGGCTCCAGGGGGCCTGGCCCACCCTGACTGCAGCTCCCTCCCCTCGGCTGCCTTGGCCTCCACCTTCCTCGGAGACTGTGGCCTTCCAGGCACGGGATGCGTCTGAGAGAATCTGTTCTGACCCACAGGGAACATGAGCACATGCCTGCCCCTGGCCGGGACTGGAGGGGCGCCCCCACCCTGCTGCGCTGCCACGCATGACTCTACATCCTCCCCACCGACGCCTCTCCAAGCTGCTGGGTTGGCTCAGCTCCACGGGGTCTAAATCAGACACCAGCCCTCTCGGGAGACATTTCCCTCTCACTCTGTCGGAGCCCAAGTTGTGCAGTCCCAGGAGGAGTGGCCGATGGTCTGGAGAGGCCCATACGGCCAGGCAGGCCCCCCCACTTAGGGAAAAGTTCAAACATGACCCCCAGCGATCACTGGTTCCCTCCCAGGCCAGGTGGAGGGGTGCTGGGGTGAGTCTGGCCACTGGCTGAGGATGCCGGCCTGCTCCCTAACCCGCCTTTCCTGCCTCAGGAGGAAATATTGAGAAGGGCGAAGATTCGAGGGTAGGTGTGCACGGGGAAACCCAGCCCTGGTAAATGACCCACGCGCCCACAGCAGGCCAAAGGCACAATCACAGCACTTCATGTTAAAAAAGCAATAAAGATGATAACGATAAGCACACGCTGTGCTCAGCTCAGCGCAGGCGCTGTCCGGGCTGTCCAACACAGGCAGCGGCGCTCCCCAACCCCAAAGGATCAGGCCCCCCAGCATCGCCTGCCCGGGCTCCCGGTCAGAACGGGGTGGCTGTGCCACACCTCATCGTTCAGTGTGTTTGTGATGACACTTTGCTTGGGCCCACAGTGAGCTTATTCAACTTTTTGAAACGCCAACAGCTGATTTGGGCAGGAGGGCAGCAAAAAAGTTACTGAGGGCGTGAGAAGTGAGGCCAATTTTTTAATTAGGCCGATGTTATTTTTACATGGGTTTCCTGTGCACCCAGAAGCTGCGCTCTCTACTTAACCAGGAAAAAATGCAGCGTGGTGGATGAGGTCCATCGTGACCAGAGGTGCCCACAGGCCAGCTCTCGTCAGCCATGTGGCACCTTGAGGGACAGAGAGACACATGGGCAGAAAGGGCCTTGGGCTTCAGAGAACAGTTAACGGGAAGTAAAATCATCCCACCCCCTGCAGTCACAGTGACTTCCCAGAGAGGAACAGGAGAACAGCGCGGCTGACTCATTCCTTACATTCCCAGCTCTCTGACAAGCGTTGCTTACAATCAGCTCCGCTCTGCGCTCTGCTAACATCATCAGGCAGGGAGCCTGGCTCGGCGCGGCACAGGACTTGCAGGGAAGGCGCTCGCTGGCCTCGGGTGTAGCAATCCCTCCTGGGAAGTAAGTGTTAAGTATTTCGGTCAATATTTCAGACCCAAATAAAGTGTTTGGAAGGCTCCTCGTTTGAAAGTATTTGGTCATGGTTACTGGAGAGTGTTTAAATAAGTGCTGGGCTAGACTCTGGGGGAGGAGCAGGCAGGCCTGCGAGGTCAGGGCGGTGTCATCACCCGTCCCTCCACGCCGGGCGGGCGGGGGCCGGCCAGAGCCAGACCCTGCTTGGTCAGGCCGCGCTGCAGGCTCCCCGGAGCTGTCACAGTTAATCATTGGTGCACACTGAGGTGGAGCTAGTGAACACCGTGTGTCCGAGAGACTTGAAAAGAAGAAAAGAAAAGAAAAAACAAACTAGGAGCAAGATTAAAATGTAAAACAGTGAAAAAAGAATAAAGTGGGGAACGTGGGGAGCAGCTCAGCGTCTCCAGACAGGGAGGGGATGCGGAGCGCGCGCAGGCCACACCCTCGGCTCGGTCTCCCGGGGCTGACCCGGCACAGCCGAGGTCCCGGCCGTCCGGGCGAGGGAGCCGCGGCCAGCAGGGCCTGGGCGGGCGCTGGATCCTGGGCCCGAGCCGCGGCGCAGAGCGGGAGGAAATGAAAACTAGAAAACAGTTTGCGCCTGGAACAATGAGGCGCAGTTTCATTTCGGTTTCACGCGCAAGCACGAACGTGGTTGTCCTTTTTCTAAACAAAACAAGCCCGCGGGGGGCGGCGCGGGAAGGGGGTCACTTTCCAAGCGGCGCCCACGCCCGGCCCGAGTGTCCCGCCGCGGGCGGCCGTGGGAAAGCCGGGGCGCAGCCGTGTCCAGGCAGGCGGCCCGGGCTGCTCCGCATCAGCCTCCAGAGTCTCCCCGGGGCGAGGAACACGCCCGGGGCGCGCGGCCGTGGGGGCTCCCAGCGCCGAGGCGGGGCGCGCTCACCCGCCGCGCCCTCCCCGCAGCAGCCGGGCAGGTGACGCGCCCGCCGGTGCCCCGCGGCGCGGGTTCAAATCCCGCGGGCCCCCGCCCTCACCGCCGCGGGGCGCACCGCCCTGCGCTCGCCCGCGGGGTCCCGGGCGCCCCCGGCTCGCCCAGCGCAGCCCACAACAAAGGAGGCTCCGGAGCGGATGTGCGGTCGCCGCCCTCGGGGATGGCCCGCGAGGACCGGCCCGCGAGGGCACCTGGCCCGGGCGGCGGCTCCCGCCGGGGCCGCGGGGCGCGCGGGGCGCGGCGCGGGGGCTCGGCGCGGCGCCGGCAGCGGAGCCGGCGGGGCACTCACCTTGGCCGCGGCGCGGCTGCGCTCCTCGTGCAGCAGGAGGGCGGCGGGCAGCAGCAGCAGCCAGAAGCCGAGCCGGGGCCCCATGGCGGCGCGCCCGGGGCGGCGGGTCCGGCGGGGTCCGGCGGGGTCCGGCGCGGGCGGCGGGGGGCGGCGGCGGGCGGCTCAGTCTCCGAGGGCCGGGCGCGGGCGCGGCGCACCGTCCCGGGCGCCTCGGCTCGGAGCGGAGACTCGAGCGCGGCCCGGCGAGCTCCCCAATTTGTTGGCGCTGCCCCCTCCCCTCGCGGCGCGGGCGGCGTCTCAAAGGGGAGGACCCTGCGGCGCGGGTAAGAGGCGGCGGGAGCGCGCCGCCCGCGGAGAGTGGCCGTCGCCGCCGGGACGCCAGGGCTCCGCTCGGCACCCGCCCGCGCCCGCGCCCGCCTCCCGGTGCCCCGGCCCCGCGCGGCCCCCCGCCGGCCCCCGCGCCGCGGCCCGCGCTGCAGCGAACCCCGGGCGCTTCTGGACGGGCGGCCGCGCCGGCAGCGCCCCAAGCCGACGCCGAGGTGAGCGCGAGCGCGGGGCGCCGGGACCGCGCCGGGGCCGGCCTGGGGCGCGCGGGGCGCCGGGGCTGCGCGCCCTTCCGCGCGGCGTGGGGCGGGGGCGGCGCGGCGGGGGCGCCCGCAGGCCGGGGGGAAGCCCCCCTCTGCCCCGTCGTGGGGCGGCTCGGGTCGCGGGGGGTGTCGGGGGGCGAGAGCGCCCGCGCGTGCCCCGCTTCCAGCAAACCGAGGCGGCCCCCGGGATGCTCCCCGCCCGCCTCGCTGAACCGGCTTTGTCTCCGCCTCGCAGGCTCGGAGGCCCCGCGGAGCCGTAGCGGCCGGCCCGGGACATGGACGGAGCCCGCAGCGGGGCGCCCGGCCGCGTCCTGCCGAGGTAAGGACCCTCTGCCCTCCGCGCGCGCGCAGGCGGGGCGCCCCGGCTCTCCTCGCCCCGCGCGCTCACGGCCCTCCCTTCCTCCCCAGGTGGCGGCTGCTGGGGGCCCTGGCCCTGTGGCTCCTGGCCGAGAGCGTCCTGGCGGTAAGTCCTGGCTTTGGGTCACCCGCCCGAGGGCCTGGCGCGCGCCTGCGTCGGGGTGCAGGGCCGCCGGCGGGGGCACCCACCCCCCGGGCCTGGAGACTGTGTTTTCCCCCGGAACGTGTGGGAAAGTGGGGGTCCGCGTGCCCGCGCCCCCTCTGCGCGGGGTGCAGGCGCTGCCCTTGGGAGGGGCCGGTCATTAAACACAGCCCGGGCGTCCTGTGCCGGGAGGGAAGGCGCGAGGCGCCCCGGGCCGGCTGCGTGTGCGCGGGGCTGTCACTGCCCAAGTTTCTTGTTCTTTCAAATTGGAGACTTGGGGAAAGGGGCGGGGCGCGGGCCGCAGCGGCCTCCCGGGCCATTGTGAGCCCTGGTGGCGCCGCCTTTTCTCCCCAGACCTGGTGTGCGGCGCAGGGAGGCGTGGGGGCTGCTGAGGCCCCGACCCTCAGGACCGGCCCGCGGCCGCCCCCAGCCCGGCCCTGCGGCGTCGGGCCGCACTGGAGAGGCCGCAGGGCTGGCGCTGGCTGGAGAGTGGAGCGACTTGCGCGTTCATGTAACTGGGCTCAAGGGCCGGCGCTCTTGCCTTGAGGACCCGGCGCTCTGGGCAGGGGCTGAGCGTGAGGCCCGGGGGGTCGCCACGCCCTCCGTGCCCCTCACTGGCCCCCGGGCCCGTCCCCACTCGGGAGAGGGCGCCCACGGGTGAGAAGGCCCGGCTGGTTTGATTTAAAGCTGTGGTGTGTGCAGGTCCGTGCTGACCCGAGGCGCGGTTTCAAGGCAGAGAGTGAGGGAGAAGCAGCCGCGGGGCCTTCTCTGTGCGGCGCCCCCGGCAGTGGCACGGGACCCAGGTCAGGGTGTGGGACCAGCTGGCGGCGTGGCTGCCAGCCCCAGGGCAGCCTTCTCCTCAGCGGCAGGTCGCGGGCCCTGAGGGTGGCGTCACAGCTCAGCTTTGCCAGCAGAGATGCCTCCCCTCAGAGGGGACCCAGAAAGCCACGCCAAGTGCGGGGTGCGCACCGCCGCACCCCAGGTCGTCCTCGCTCGGGGCGTTCTCATCTGGGACTGACCCTAAAATCCATGGAAAGGGTCCGTGTTCGCCGTGGGGGGCCACACAGTGCGCCTGGCCTCCGCGGCTGGGCCCCGGCCCCACGCTTGTGGAGTGCACAGCGGGTACAGCCCTGAGACGGACGCCCGCGCTCCCGCTCCGAGGCCGCAAGCCTGGGGTCTCTGCTCTCTGACCCTGGGGTGGACCAAGAGCAGACCCCAAGGGAAGGCGGACCCCAGCCCCAGGCTCTCTGGGGTGGAGCCTGGGAGTCTGCATTCCCACCAATGCCCAGTCCCCACGGCCCCGTCAGGGCTCACTTGCCAGTGTATTTCGTCTCCCTGCAGTTTAGACTTTAAATCTGCAAATAAAAAGGCAGATACATAGTTTTGATTCGTATAAAAATACATTAGTGTTGCTATCTGCCCGCTCCCGCCCGGCGGTAACTCCTGGCCCCGTGACGCGCTTCCCTGCGGAGTTCTGGGTCCGTGGGCGCCTCTGTCATTTGCGTCCTCAAGGACCCTGCCTCATCACCTTTGTGTGCCAAGGACTCTTGGGGTGGGGAGCAGCTCAAGTCAGCAGAAAGGCCCCTGATTGTAGCTTTGAGAGTTTTGAGGCAAAGCAGCTGAAGATGGTTACTAAGCGGAGGGCATGATTCCTTAATGAGCAGCAGTTTGCGGCGCTAACCCCCTCTGCCTCACCAGGAAGCACACCTCGGCGGAGGAGCCATGATCACCCCACTTTACAGATAAGAAAACTGGGGCACGGGGGTTTCTCTCAGAGTGGCAGTGGCAGGTGTGGGGTTTGAACCCAGGCTCTTGGCCCTCGCCCGGTTCCCAGGTGCGACTGCAGCCCACGCTTGGCCTCGGGAGGCCTGGCCTCCCTCCTCTGCCTCCCCACTGCTTTGTCCTGAAGACCAGGGCCCCAGAGCCAGGGGCAAGTCTTGGAGGAGGGGGAGGAGGAGCAGGACCCCCGGGCAGACCCGGCTCCTGCTCTCTGGGCAGCCTCCCCTGGTCAGCCGCCTGTCTGAAGTGTCCACCTTGAGTGGCGCGCAGGACCCCCAGGAGGCAGGGCAGCCTGAGGGTTACCATCCCATCACCCCAGACCAAAGGCTGGCAGTGGGGAGCCCCCTGGCAGGGGCTGAGCCGCCTTCCCATGGCGCTACCCTGGCCTATGCCCTGCCCCCATCCACCTCGCAGGAAAAGGCCATCGGGCAGGGGTTGCGCGTGAGGCCCTCTGCAGCGTGTGGTCTGGGGCTGGGCCGGCCGGGTCAGGGGAGGTTCTGGGCAGCTGTGCCCAGCCTTCATGGAGACTTGAAAGCGCTCGCAGCCCATGCCCCATGCCGAGCTCTGCTGCTTATCTCCAAGGAGGCTGCAGCCTTGAAGATCTGAGAGACCAGGCCTGTGTGGCCTGGGAGGAAGAGCATTCCAGAGAACAAAGGCCTTGCAGAGATCAAATCTGCAGCAGGCGGTGGTCACCTAGTGACTAATGACCTCGGCTGGGAGACAGGCCCCAGGCCGCAAGGTCTCTGGGGCGTGCACACTGACCCGTAGTCCAGTCTGGGGGCCTAGGAGTCGGGCGCCCCAGGAGAGCCCAGCTCCCCACTGCCTGCCATCTGCACCCCCTTTAGCTTCCGGGGTGCCTTCCAGGGCACTGTGCCTGGAACATTCACTGGATACCCCTTTGCCCTGTCCCCACGGCAGCAGCGGTGTGCCCCAAAGCTTGCCTCTGCCGGGTATCGATAAGCCCTGGGATAAGCCCTGGACAGTGGCTGGGCTCCGCCCCGGGGTCTGTGAAGAATTAGCAGAGCAGTCCTTTCCCAGTTCCCTAGCGCTCCCCTGGGGCTTTCGTCCTATTGTTCAAAATCTGGGCCCCTGTGAAGAAGGGAAGCCACAGTCCCTCCTCTGGGGGTGTGAGCGCAGCCGCTGCAGTGCCTGGTGGCGGGCCGGGTGGCTGGCGGGGTGCGGCCTGGGCAAATAGCAGCGGGCTCGGGCCCTTGAGACGAGAGGTGGGGACGGAGAGCAGGGGAGCAGCTCTCGCCCCAGCGACAGTGTATTTAGGGGGGCGGGGGGGGAGAGAGGGAGGAGAAATTAAAGCCAAGCACTCTAGAACAGAAACAAAAACTTTGCTAAAACCATGAAACCAAGAGCTTGTCTAGATCTTCTGGACAGAAGGCAAGACAGTGGGCAGGCAGCGTCCATCAGAGAGCAGATGCGAGGGAGAACTGTGGTTGTGGGGAGACAACATTCCCGCCTGTCCTGGGAGAGACGTGGACGCAGCGGTGGCTGTCCGTGGGACGTGGCAGGGGCCGTCCGTGGGACGCGGGGGTTGCCGACCGTGGCCCTTGCCACCTGAAACAGACCGTCCAGCCTTGGGGAGAGGACTCGGGAGCACTCTGGAGCTGGCCTCGCTCTGTGGCTGTGTCACTTGGGGCTGCCTGCGCAGCTGGAGGAGGTGGCTGAGGTCTGGAACTGGCCGTGGCTGGTCAGGCTGTGACCCAGGCAGGCTGTGCCCACGCTGGTGGCCTCCAGGCGCTGAGGACGCGGTCGTCTTGGGGGACAGCAGTGCCCCACCCCAGCCTCAATGCTGCCTGCCTGCTTGGCCCTGGGAGGCTTTGGCTGGACCTGGCGGGGAGCAGAAGGAGAGGGTGTGTGGCATCAGAGTGGGGTATACTCTGTGCACCGCAGGCGAGCTGGCCAGTGCGATCGTGGGAATGGAGGTTTTTCCAAGTTAGCATCTGGCCTGTCCCAGGATAGGACTTAAAATGAGTAATTGCATCGAGATTAAAATGCCTTCAGGCCGTGAGAAGCTTCTGGAACCCAGTGAGTGGGACTTAGCTGGAGTGGGAGCTCGACGGGCTGGGACGCTGTGTCCCTTCTGCTGCTCCGCTGTGGGGGTGCTCCTTTCAGGGAACGCGGGTGTCCGGGGAAGGCTGACTCACCAGCTCCTCCCTTGGCTTCCCCGGGGCCTGCGGTTTTCCTTCGGTTATCTGTGGAAGTCGGGAGCCCAACCCCGGGTGTCCCCGGGGCCTCTCCGGGCCTGTCCCTGCGGCTGGAGAGGCTCTGGGGCCGCCCCTCCTGTCCTCAGTGAAGCTCAGGCTAAAGCAAGACACTCCTTTGCAAAAACCGTTCCCTTCAGCGCGAAGCAGGCTCGTGGACGGGAGAAAGAATGTTCGTGGGAAAACTGGCCAAATCCCACCGCGCCGGGAGCTCGGCGCACGCCGCCCCCCCCCCCACAGTGTGGAAATACAGAGCCGAGGTTGCGCAAGAGGCTGGCCTGGCTGGGCCGAGGCCATGGGGGCTCCCAGCGCCATCTTTGCCAGTTTCCTGCAAATCTAAATTATTCCAAAATGAAAGCTTCTCCTCGACCCCGGGAGCCCGCCCCTTGGGCCGGCAGAGCTCAGGCGGGCAGGGTGCGTCCAGCGGCGGGAGAGCGCTGCCCTCTCTCTCGTGACAGCTGAAGTCAGGGAGAGGCGCCCTGTGTGCCGGGCAGCAGAGGGGCCCTTCGTCCCCTACCTGGGGAGGAGCACTGTTTGGTGCCTGCGGTCGGGGGGCCAGAGTGGAGCCGGGCTCCCTCTTCCTTACCCACCACCCACCACCCACCGGCGGGGGGAGCGCGGCACAGGGTGGGCACCCGCAGGCGTTCTGGGCTGGGCGCAGGGGCCAGGAGCGAGGATGGCCAGGGGCACCACCAGGGGACCGTGGCCCGTCCCCACCTGACGCTGGCCCCAGAGCTGGAGGCGGGAGCAGGCAGCCTGGCCGCCCTGGGTCTGCTCTGCAACTGCACGCCCGCAAGCCCCTCTGGGCAGCCTGCCCCGCTGCCCGCGCCGCTTCCCGTAGCCTGCGCGCCCCAGCGTCAGAGGTGGGTCGCGGCTGCCGCGGGCCTGGCACACGCCTGCCCTCCCCCTGTGGGCATGGCCGGTCCCCTGAGCCACGATGGACCCGCGTCTCCCCGCCCCGCCGCCCCGGGC